TTCTCGAGCTTTTATAAAGAATGTTGTGTTTGTGAGACCCTTTATTGTTTGTTTCAAAGTGCTCCTTGATGCTGACCCTCGAATTTTGTTTGTTTATTAAATTTTTTGCTCGACACAATAATTTTTAATTTCATTATTTATTTTCATAATATTTTATGAACAACTCACATCTTTTCTCACATTAATTTCAATGTGAAGTGGAGTTGCACCAATTTCTACACAATTTCTCAGGATACGATTGTTTTTTTTTCAATGCAAAACTTCAACTGACTCGTGTGACAGAGAGTTTTCGGCTTCAGAACCAACTTGAAAAAAAGCAAAAGAATGTTAATAAGAAAAAACGCAAATAAAACGGTTTTAATTTACGTGTAAATTCTTTTGAATGTTGAGCCCAGTATTGTTTAATCCAGGAATGGTTCGACTGGCCGGGATTTGCAATTTAATTTTCAATTGCGTAAGCGCCTTTCTCCATTCGAGGATCGGAACATTATTTAAAAAATTTTAGTTTCCAAAAATTGAAATATTCAATCCGAACAATTTCAGTCAGGCCCTATAAATAAATTAAATTATTGTATGTTTTGTGATGATAGAACCCCAAAAATATCTATTGTACATACATCAACAAAACATCCAAAGAAAAGTAGGAAACCATAATAAAAGTTATTGCTTTAGGAGTGGAAATCATTGGATGTGAAAACGTTCCACATAACGGCCAACGTTCCATATAAAGGTAATGCCACTAGAAAATAAAAGAATTATTTGGAAAAGGGATTTAGCAGTTCATAGATATAGTCAGGCCATTTTAAACAATCATGAAATTCTTATAGGTTTCTCTTTTCCTGTGTTTGATTTAGCCATGACTTTTGTCTCTGCCCTCTGCCAAAAATACCATACAAAGCTTAGCACTCAATTTTAATCTATGAAATCGCTATCATTTACTAAATATCATCCAAATGTACTAATATTAACGATGGAAAAGGTTTTTCAGCAAAGGCTAAACAAACTCCTATTGCTATGAGAATTCTAGAAGTGTGTTGCACGAATTCGAGACTGAAACCACTGTGGTGATTTTCACCAGAAATTGCAAAGCATCGACCATCACCAGAAAAACTAAATGTTTAACTAAGATGTTTTGATCAGGACTTCACTGTGAAAAAATATAATACGGTACACGTTGATCAACTAAATTACCGAATATTTATTTCAAATACTGTATTAATTAAACAAAAGGCAAAAATATAGCAATAAAGATTTCTGAAGTAGAAAATACGTGTTGAAAACGCTGACGCTTTCTACGACAATCCCTTTCACACCTTTTTTCTCGACTGGTCATAGACAGGTGTCATTGGGTGTTTTCTACCGAGGTAGAGGGTGTTTTGGTGTCTTAATGGTTACAATCTACCCTTTTGGAGTTTCCCTACGTCTTTGGGGATACTCCAAGTCAATTTTTGATGTATGATGGCCACATAAACAAGTTGGAGCTTTAATGCGGCGTCTGGGTCGTCCAACTAATCCGGGCTCATCGTATTTTAATTTTTCTCTTCGTTAGAACTCTCATTGTCATCAACATGCAATACATCTGTGTTTTTCTGAGGAATGGCCTCGTCACCTTCGGGTATATTACCAATTTCAATAAGGCGCCTTTTCATGGATCTTCCACGTGGGCGTATAGGTCGTACTGGTGTTGGAACTTCTCCTTTTCCCACATAAGGTGCTATAGCTGATGTATGTAATTTGATTGTGGGACCTTCAGTTGGCTCTATAGGTTGTTGGAGTGACAACCTTAGTAACTTCATATGGACCATCACGTCATGGAGCAAATTTTGAAGTATAGGCATCTTTGGCTTTGCTAATTGGGTGTGTATCCACCATCACTCGATCTCCCTCTTTGTAATGGGGAATAGTTCTTCTCCTTTGGTCAGCCTAATGTTTTGATTTATCTTGTGGCTTTTCATGGAGCTCTCTTGCTTCTTTCAAAGTTCTAGCAATATTTATCAAATAAAGGGTAACTTGAGGAATGAAATTTTCACTTTAAGTGATAGCTCTCATGTCCCTTTGTACATCATCGGGTGTAATGTAACCGCGGTCAGTCCATGTCTTAAATTCCACTGATTCAAGATCCGGTGATTCGAAAAAAAAAAAAAAAATAATACATCTGGATCTTCTAACTGTTTCCTTCTAATGCCTTCTTTATTTCTTCTGGGCAAATCAACAATAACTTCATTTACCTCTGTCTGAGACGTTTCTAGTGGTGGCCGGGATAAAGTATCAGCCACTACATTTACCTTTCCAGGTGTGAATTCAATTCTCAAAGCCTGTAAATACAAAGCCTATCAAGTTAGCCGGCCACTAGGTGATTTTAAAGACATTAACCACTTCAATGGCTGGTGGTCAGTCTGGATAATGAATTTAGCTCCATCTAGGTAGCCTTTAAATTTCTCTACAGCTTACACAACTGTAGCGCCCTTTGGGTTTTTCCTTTTCTTGCTTTAACGGTTATCTCGGGCGCCACCCTCAGGATTATTGTGGTTGAGGGCCCACGTGCACCAGGTAGCTTGTTACAGTGGAGATCAGGGGTCGAATCGGATGCTGGAAGTTATTTCTTCTATACCTCCTGTAAATCCTCCAAAAAACTCCAAAAGAAGACACATGAAATCACGATTAAGTTCTGGTATTTATTGCTATAAATGTATGTCAATAAGGCCTATAGTAAAATATAACATTCCTTGAGCAGAGTGAATAGATTGAATGAAGCGGGCGTGCAACGGAGAGAGTGAAAATGTGTATGTGTGCGTGCGTGTAGATTAATGATAACGGGCGGTTTATAAGCAAGCGGTGAGTAACAGAAAATAAGAAGCGGCCAAGCAAGCGGTGAGCAACAGAAAATAAGAAGCGGTCATGCAATACAAAAGCGGTTAGATCTTAAGGGCTTTAACTGGTTCGAATACTGATGTACCCGTTTCACACTTAAGTAAGACATTTCGGATACAGACATGAATGTACTTGGTTGGTCAATACGGTATCCTTAAATCAGTTAGAATCAACCGCAACGGCGGTGGAAATAAAGCCCTGTCCATACACATGAACCGTGACAGTACAAATAATATCTAAGAGAAAACTATCCGTACACATGAACCCTGACAGTTTATAGAACTTTAAACTACGCCGTGACACTAAAACATGAACCAATAGATGAAGAGAAACTGTCCGTACACGTAAACCAGCTATAGAACTTTAAACTTTGTGAAAATAAATGTCTTAGAGAAAACTGTCCGTACACATAAACCGTGACAATTTATAGAACTTTACTTTGTAAAAATAAATATCTTAGCGAAAACTATCCGTACACATAAACCGTGATAGTCAATAGAATCTTAAACTCTGTCCGTCCAAGTGAACCGTGACAGTAAAAACAAAAATATAATTTACCAACCAAGTATTAATGAAAAATAACTTACTCGCGTAGCGGTGAAACAGGTACCAGTCGGTATTTCGGAGAGAAGGCCTACCTCGGCATTCGGTGGAAGTCGGAAGCGTCTACTTAGTTGGTGGACTCGGGCCAGACTGGCCCTTAAAGGGCAAGCTTCGTGGGAAAAATACCATGGTGCGCGCTTCGGCTTCCATAGGTCCAAAGCCAGCGATGCAGCCTCGAACGTGCGACCAGCCAAACTGCTATTTGCACCGAGGTCACGCGTAAAATATCACTATATTTAGAAATGAATAATATTTCGGGGATATTCAAGAAAGCCGCGCTTCTTCTTAAAATCAGAGAAAAGTTTGTGTGGCTTTAGTTACACAAATAATTAAAAATACGATAATCAGGTAAAATCATTACCGCGGGATTGACCGAAAATTACCTAGAGCAAATAGTTGAATTAAAGTCAATTAAATAATTAAATTGAAGTCAGAGGCGCACACATTTTCGGAAAAAATCTGGTAACTCCGTTACACAACTGCTAAAGTTTCTCTTTCTGTAGTGTGATATTATAGTTCATGCAGGTGTGAGTAGTCGGTTTGCATATTCAACAGGTCTTTCATCAGCCTTCTCTCCTTGGAGTAAAACTGCCCCTAAAGCGTATGAACTAGCATCAGTTCTGAGTATATAAGACAATATACCGGGAGTATAGGCTAAGTAATTCAAAAGTTGTTTCATAAGGTCGAAAGAATCTTGTTCTTTCTTCTCCCATTTCCAATTTGAAACTTCTGCAAATGAAGAAATGAGTCACCGGAACCAAAAGCATGTTTGGACAAAGGACAAAAGCTCTTTCAAATTTTTGAGATGTGGTCTCTCCAGAATAGCGGTGATTTTAGAAGGATCTGGTTGAATTCCTTGGGGTGTAATTAAGTTTCTGAAATATATCATAGAAGAGCACACACAGCTTGAAAGCTACAAGCCGGTCAAATACACGTTGTAAATCAGAAAGGTGTTCTTGGTAAGTTCTGGATAATACAATCAAATCGTCTATATAAGCTAATATGGTCAAATCTTGGAGTCCGAATTTGAATCGATCAATGAGTCTTTGAAAGGTGGAGGGTGCATTTTTCATTCCAAATGCTACCCTCGTATAACGGAAAATTCCAGATAGGCAAATAATTGCTGTTTTATCTCAATCAGATTCGCGGACAGAGACTTGATGGTACCCTGATTTTAAATCAAGAGTGGTCATATACTTTGTTTTTTTTGCAGTGTGTAATAAACCATCAATCCTAGGAAGTGGGTATTTATCGGAAACTGTTTTCTCATTTAGGCGTTGATAATTGATGCAAAGGTAAATACTACCATCAGGTTTAGGTACTTGAACAACTGGAACAGCATACGGGGATTCCATCTTTTAGAAGCTTATCCTGTTGAAATATAATACTACATATCTGATATCTCGGAAACGGGAATTGGCAAGCACGACCTCGATACAGTAGCTGCTATAATGATTGATATTTTGTTCTTGAACAGCTACAAATAATAATATTTCTATTATTTACACAGAAAAAAATTCTTGCAGGTTGGCTGGCGTTTGACCGGTAGATGGATGGCAGGCAACGTAGCCTGTAAAATAATTCAGTTTATGCGAGCCTTGGGACCTTATTTGAGCAGTAATGTCCTGGTATGCATTTCATTGGACCGGTACTTTGCTGTAATGTATCCTCTAAGAGTAAATGTTGCTAGAAAACGAGGAAAACTGATGCTACTTGCTGCTTGGGGAGCTAGTCTTGTGTATTGTCTTCCACAGGTAAGGATTGCACTATTATAAAGTTAAAGTTAGATCGTGTCCCAACGTATAATGTATAACTTCATTTCAAACATTCTGTTATCCCTTTTGTCCCTTTTGCATAAAATTCAAGATAAAGGCCAAATATGTCATCAAGCATTATTGCTTTTTGACCCTAAATAAATAACCGCATTGTTGACTATTAAATTTAGGTCTTATCCAAAGCAAATCTTTTTCAACAAAATAAACGCTAATTTCTTTTTCCAGTGCTTTGTATTCAACTTGCGATCCCACCCACAAAATCCAGACTTCAAGCAGTGCGTCACATTTGGATCGTTCCCTAACGAATTTTTGGAATTGGCCTACAACCTTTCCTGTATTCTATTTTTATACTTTATTCCTCTCTCGGTCATCGTCGTAGCTTATAGCTGTATTCTAGCTGAAATATCTAGAACGTCAAAGTCGCATAATAATAAGAGTAAGTGATTATATGCCTTATGACCTTTTTAAATTGAAAACATTTTTATAAAAAGTAAGGTAATTTTAAGAAGCAATACAAATAATAAGGATAGGGCGACGCTTGATGCTCTCCAGAATCCAATTATTTTCTTTTTTTTTTTTTTTTTTGGTGGAAATGATGAAAGGACGTATTAGCATTAACAAGAGTAGAAGCCAAAAATTAATGAAAATGGGACGAGTTTTGTTTTCATTATTCCGTTGAATCAATACCTGCCTGAGTTTTATTCATTTCAGGACAATACTAAATGAGGTTAAACCATCAAACTAACCCACTAACAGTAAAAAATAATATTGAATCTAATTTTAAATCCCATTATCAGGCTAATTCAAAAATAGATGAAATTTCTGGCCCCAAATATGACTCATTTTAGTCACAATCAATTAATGTATGACACATCAACCGCCCTTTTTATTGACTGATGTCCAGTTTCGGTTTGATACAGCTGAAAAGTAAATATTGTTAAAAGTCCGTCTGGTTTTTGATTTTTTCCACATCAAATTTTAGATGTCTAATAAATTTATGGTATATTTAGGCAAAGCTGTAGACCAGGCAAACGGAAAACTACGATTACGAAGATCAGACACAAAAAATATTGAAAGAGCAAGAAGTAGAACCTTAAGAATGACCGTAACTATAGTAGTAATCTACATATTTTGCTGTACTCCGTATACAATGATGACATTATGGTAAGATACATTTTTGTTTGTACATTGTCTTAATATGTGGATTACAGGTATATGTTCGATAGAACAACAGCGGAAAAAAGCTTGCCAGCTTTTGTGCAAGATCTCTTCTTCATGATGGTGGTTTCCAATAGTTGCATGAATCCCATCGTTTATGGTAGTTTTGTGATGGATTTCAAAAAGTTTTCCTGTCAGTGTACAAATTGCGGCGAGAAAACTTCAACTGAATCGTTGATTCCCCGTAAGTAAAATATTTTTGTTTTGTCAGAATTTCTACTGATGAGTATTTTTGCGTTGAATGCTTCAATTTGCAATATTGATTATCATTTAGGAAAATATTAATACATTACATTGAAAAAATTATCCCAACTTCTCTAGACCGGATCTAGAGCGACTTTTATTTTCTTAACAGGGTGGAGTATAATAAGGGGTTTTCATTCGGGCTTAATGACCGTCGTAAGTTGGAATTTCTTCCTGACGTTCCGCTAGCATGCGTGGCTAGCATCTTCAGAGGTGATTCCATGTCCGATTCTGGTAACAGACTGACGCGTTCCCGACCATAAGTTGTATTTATGTGTACGTAGCTGTGGTGGGGGAGGGAAGGGGCGGGGCTTCGCGGCATGTGGCTAATCTCAACTTTCTCTGTACTCAATGAGATCTTTCTTGGGTTTTTGAGGATCGGGTTCCAGATTTGGTTAAGTTTAAGTGTTTCTTCTTTCCTGTTGAAATTCTCCGTATGTTTGTGGATTTCTATAGCTTCACGTACAAGACGATTGTGGTATTTGGAAGTCGGTGCAAGAAGCTTGACCTTACCAAAGAGTATTTCATGATTCCTTTCACTAAGCGCATGTTCCGCAACTTCCGATTGTCCTAGTCTGCAGTTTCTTTTGTGCTCGTTCATCCTGGTTCCCATGGATCTTTTTGTCATTCCTATGTATACCTTACCACATGTGCATGGTATACGAACAGTAACGTGCTCGGAACATCTGCGAGCCACAATATCTCGAGCAAGAACTAGATCATCTCAAGTCGGCCTTTCTATGAAATGGTTACAATGTATCTGAAATTGACATGGCCATGCGACATGCGACCCAAAACTGCCACACGACAAAACGTGGATGAACAACCAGTGGTGGCTAATGCATATCTGCCTTTCATTTCTCGGATGACAGACAGGATAGGGAAAGTCTTGAAGAAACACAACATAAAAACAATCTTCAAGCCGACAAGGAAAATACAGTAACCAATCAGATCAGCCAAAAATAAGAGGAACCCACTGTCAAGAGCTGGAGTCTATCGTATACTATGTGGTAACGTATACATAGGAATGACAAAAAGGTCCATGGAAACCAGGATGAACGAGCACAAAATAAACTGCAGATTAGGACAACCGGACGTTGCGGAACATGCGCTTAGTGGAGGGAATCATGAAATACTCTTTGGTGAGGTCAAGCTTCTTGCACCGACTTCCGGATACCACCAAGGCCGATCCTAGAAGGTGTGCAGCGCGTGCCTCGCACGCGGGCGGCCAAATCTAGGGGCGGCCGCAGGCCGCCCATAGTTCGGCCATTCAAGATTCAAGTAAAACTTTTTACGAATTTCGGAATTTCTCAAAATAAAACTACTTCTAATAAAAAAATGAGCTGAACTTTAAAAAACTCCTAAAAAATGAAAATACACCCCGATCTTCTGATCATAAAAGGAAAGTCTAGTGCACACTGCACAGTTAGTGAGTAGGTTCACGCATAATGTTTTTACTCTTTACCCATTCCATCATAAGATCGCAAAATACTGGAGTATCTTGATTTTCCATCCCAGGCCCTAAGTATTTAGTTTTAGGATAGTATTTGTCATTATTGATCACCACTGACTCGCATTCAAACAACTCAGAAAACAAATATTTTTCAAGCTTTTTTTCTACTCTAAACGCCCAATAACGTTCATTTTGAGGTTCGAGATGAACGTTTTTGGGCCTCCGGCAGAACCTGCGGCGGGCTACTACCACCGGCACCTACGTAAAGAGGATTATATCTCTATGGGGCGGCGCAATTCCTCTTTGCACGAGGATTGGCCATGGATACCACAATCGTCTCGTACGTGAAGCGATAGAAATCCAAAAACATACGGACTTCAACAGGAAAGAAGAAACACTAAAACTTAACCAAATATGAAACCTGATCCTCAAAAACGCAAGAAAGATCCCATTGATTACTGAGAAAGTTGAGATTAGCTACATGCCGCGAAGCCCCGCCCTTCCCCACCACAGCCACTCACACATAAATACACCTTACGGTCGGGAACGCGTCAGTCTGCTACCAGAATCGAACATGGAAGCACCTCTGAAGAAATTCCAACTTACGACGGCCATAAAGCCTGAATGAAAACCCCTTATCAACAAACCTGGGACGCGAAAGCCTCACAAACTTTATTGAACAAGAAAAACTGCGGATACCTTTTTTGTTTAAAATTGAACAAGGAATCAAATAATAATTTTTTATTTGTCAAAAAACCTAGGAGTGTGCCAATTTTTTCTTTTAAGAAAATAAAGAGTCGTTCTAGGTCCGGTCCTGGAAAAGTGGAACTCAAACGGTTTTTTTAGAAAGATGCTTGAGAACATCGCAAAAACTCTCTGAAATGTTGCTCAAGGCATTCTGAATCTAAAAAAAGGCAAAATTTTCCGAAAATTTCAACACACTGTATTTTCCTAATGAGACGTTCGCGAACACATGTAACTTTGCAAAGAGTAATTGTCCTACTGTACTCTATATATCATAATAAAATGCGTACTTATTTTGGACTCACCCTCTATAAGGTGAAATACCATACCGATAAAATTTTGTACGAGATTCCACAAAAACTTTATCACTATGGAAATATACATCTCGAGCTATAAGCAATATAGTTATAGGAATATTGAACATTCAAAAATTCCTCAGAAAAGTGCATGAACAGGAAAATGTTTGGTAACAACAAATAATCATGGAAGTATGAACGTTTGTCAAATCGCTCTTTGATAACGATGATAACCCTTTACAAAATAACAAAAGTCCTTTAAATGTCTGATATGATAAAAACAGACCTATAAGTATCAATTTTTAGCATACTTTGGCCCTTTTTTGATGGGTGGAAAAAGTATTCGAAAAGTATTTGAAACTTTTCTTTAAACTTTTTCCAAACCAACTCTGGAGTACCTATCTATCTTCTTCTAAAAAATCGATGTAAAACACATCATATTATACAAAGAGCATAAAGACTGTTAAAGCATGAAATACTGATAATGTAGGACTTGTAAACAAAATTAAAAATCAAACATTCTATTGGAATTTTGAGCTAGATCTTGAGAAATGTATCGATCTTATAAAGCCTGTATGGTGAGAGTGAACAAAATTGGGCAAAAGGTAGATAATGTTAGTTCAAGGATCCAGATTTCTCCCTTAAGTAGTGATATTTATTACAAAGACCCTCTAAATGCGCTGTTAGGCAAACATGAAAAGATTCGCCTGGAAATATCCGAGTCTCCAAACAAGGGTTTTTAACACGCACATTTATTCAAAACTTCCTTGATTTTCTAGGACTCGGGTGGTAGCAAACATGAAACAGGATCTTTATTTTAATGAGGATATATTTTAAGATGTTGTAGCCGTTCGGCCAAGTACCTACTCTTTTAATTATCAGTTAGATGGTAAATGGCGAGGTGTTTATTTCCTTGAGCAGTTACTGATAAAATTGTAAAGGGGGTCTATCCGCAAATGAGAGAAACAACTGTAGTAAGGCTTACACAATTATACTTTATATTACTTAAATAATCTAAACCCAATTTGACAGTACAAAGTAGTAAAACTAATATTTTCCCAAAGTCTTACAGCCACCTCTATGTTTGCTTATTCAATCTTCAACATCCTACAAGATTCTTCCTTTATTTTTTGTAACTTGAATTATTCTATAAAGCACTACTTCGATGCTCTCAATATCTTATAACTAAATCATTTACTCTTCTACACAATACTAATTGGATTCGATACATATTTTAAATAAAATTACCATTACCTTTAATTATAAATTTTAAATCCCCTCAAGTCATTTACTAACACAATATACAAAACAGTTAAAGTTTGGAATGAATCTATGGAACCATGAACAAGTCTGAAGAAAACTGAGAACTTGTTTCACGTTCTTAGGTGCGGCAAGATGGGTGATAGCGGATCGGCTTTCATACCATCTCCTCCAATAAAATGACCAACATATTTAACTTCTGAAGTACAGAAAGTGCATTTCTTCTTGTTCATCTTCAACTTATAAATGCGTAGACGGTTGAAAACATCACTCAAGTCTTTGATGTGTGGTTCAAAAGTCGTGGATAAAATTATTAAATCAAGGTATCTGGATATGCGGCAAACCTGAACAGTTTATTAGCTTTTGAAACGTTGCTGGGGCCGTTGATAGACCAAAAGGCATCGTCTTATACCGATAAAGTCCAAATGGCGTGACAAAGGCGGTTTTATCACAATCTTTTTCTCTGACAGGTACTTGATGATAACCACTCTTCAGGTCTAAGGTGGTTATGTAGTTAGCTTTTCCAGTTGAATGAATAAGGTCATCTATACGAGGCAACGGGTAACGAACATTCTTGGTGACAGCATTCACACAAATTCTTGTTATGTTCCAACAGCGATTTCAATGTCCCTTCTTCAATATTGAAAAGAGTCGGCAACGACAAATCATTCCCATCAGCAACAGACAAAACTGCGTTGGAATCAATAACTTCACCCTGTAATGGCAAGGAATTGCTTGGATCATCATTGAAATAGTATATCTTCTTAGGTATATTGAGCACTATATCGAATTTTGATATGAAATCAACACCAAGGAAAGTCTTACTACCTTTGTAGTCTGGAACAGCAATCATTTGCAGTTTTCTTTCTTTATTCATAACTTCGATGGAACACTGGTACATCTTTGCTTCAACTTCTCGGGGTATACCATCAGCAAATACCAGTTTTATTGGAGCAGTTTTGAATGGATGCCGAATAGCATCTAGGTGGCTTAACAACTTTTAACCTGTAATACTGCATCTTGCTCCGGAATCCACAAAAGCAAAACCTGATTTACTTTGAATGATGACAGGTATCATGGGTCTTAAAGGCGGACCATCAAACGTTGATAACAAACTGGAAGGTACATTGAGATCAGCAGCGAGCATTTCGATAGAGGAAATGGTTGTTGGTGCGGGTTTACGTTGAGGACAATTGGAACGAATATATCCTGGATTACCGTAACCATAACATGTTACATTTGTGGAGGACGGGTTACTGGATCGGACTGTTAGGGCAGAAGTAGTGGACGAGGTTTTTTCAGCAGACTTGGCTTTAAATTTTCTGCAAACAGCTTAAACATGTCCATATGCTTTGCAAAATGCACACCGGTCTTTGGGCTTTTTTGCAACTCAGTACTCACTTTTACGTTGGTTTCAGCAAGGCTGGATTCGATTACTCTGCATTTGTCGATCATCTCCGGAAAGTTCTGGAAACTATGTCGAGAAAGTTTTTCCCTGATTCTATGATGAAGGAGTCCATAAACCATTTCTAACTTGTGCTCCTCTGGCAAGGGCGTGATTGTTGTCAACTTTGAAAGCAGTGCACGGGCTTGATTCACGAAAAGATCCGTTGGTTCCATACTATCCTGTTCTCGAGAATACAGTTCTCTATAAATCTGATGTACTGGTTTGTTAAAGCCAAAAGCATGACGTAGAGCATCTAAAACTTCAGTCCATAAGATGTTTGGCTTTTTGGTGCCACGATACTATAGCAGCACCATCCAGTAGCATGGGTAAACCTTTTACAGCGTTATCGTCACAGATGTTCAGATAGTCTTTGTAAATAGTGATGGCATCAATAAAAGCTTCAGCATCTTCATCTGGCTTTCCAGAAAACCTTGAGCCGCATTTAGAAAAATTGGCAGCTGTACTTTGATTCGAAGTAGATTGTGGCGTATTCTGAAACATATCTCTCATACCAGCGAGTAATGTTTGTAATTGTTCATTCGTCACAGCAATAGGGTCACCCATTTTGTCTTGATTTCTTTGGGACAATCGAAGATTATAAGGCAAAAAATCCAGCTTGGAGTAAGCTGGAAATGTAGTGTTGAGAAATAGCAAACTCGGGTAAATCCTGACAAACAGGCGACTGTAATGTAGGAACCCTTTGAACAAACTTGGCCGGACACACAGGAAACTATACATTACAGTTACAGGTACAAAATGGAGGACAAATTTGGATACGCAGGAAACTGTAATGTCAGCACAAAAATGGAGGACAAACATGAACACACAGGAAACTGTAATGTCGGTTTGTGTGGAATATTCCAGGAATTGTGGGTACAATATCCAAATGTGGCAAAACTTACACAATTCAGTCAATTAACGCACATTTACATACTCTTCTGTTATTTTAACAGTTGTGTTATAGCGCCAAATCTATACCTGTCTCTATTTATAAGTCTAGAATAAACAGTGACACATAACTTAACGTTGCTGTTAAGATAACAGAAAATGATACATCATAGTTCTGAATGTCTCGCGTTCTATAGTTCATTGATCTATAGTCACAAAATTAGTCCAGAAAGTCATTGGGGGGGGGGGGGGTGGTTCACTACAAAACCCCAGGCCCCACGTTGGGCGCCAAATATGTAGCGGGTTTCGAAGGGAACTCCAACACTATGCACTAACGCCGACAGCGCGTGTACACAATCAAACAAGTAAGCCTTGTAATTAATGTCGTTTGGTGTTTAGATTTATGAGTTTATATAAAGGGTCAGGAATCTCGTGACTCTTCCAGTTGCGTAATTATTTTATTCGAATCGTCATTGGTAAAAATAACTGATGACTATAGAGGGGAGTCCCTATAATAATTTTTAGATTAGATTTTGACCTTTATCGCTGGCTTAAGCAGCGATTAAGCAACGTTAATTATTATTTTAATTTAAACTTAGAGAATTCCAATTTATTATTAGGCAATTAACTACGATCTAGATTATAATCAATCATCAAGCAATATGCTTTTATAGGTGTATACTAGAAGCTGCCATCTGATGCTCATCAACATATAAATTGGGAAAATTGTTACTCTGTTTTTTCCAATATTGCAATGGTTGTCATCCAAGCTCCAGTAGCTATTTTTGATTGATCACCCTATTTGAACTACACGAAAAATGTCTCGCAAATGCTCGTCGGGAAAAACAAAAAAGAGATACCTACGGGAGTCTAGAAGAGATTAAATTCTAGTTCCTCGAGGCGCCGTCTTGGAACTTGAGTTTCTCGCTTACTTTTATTCAATTTGATTTTTTACTTATCCACATATTGGAAAACATAAGGTAATTAATTGGAAAGTTTCATCTTCAAAATTAGGCTGGCTTCCAACGCTCTCGACAGTAATAAAATACTTTTCACCATATTGTAACATATCTGAGGTGTGTACATAAAGCCGACAATATCGCATTCCATAGTTGTGCTATGACATTATTCAAAGTTCAACATAATAGAATTTTGTCTAATAATGAGAAAGTTGGGGAATTGTTTTGCATAAACAGGTGCAAAATCAAGCTTCGGCGATTTCTATTATTTGGAAGTTATTTGTAATAATAATACTGCATGTAGTTTCATAAGCTTTTGATGACTCAAAAGAAGTTTTTTGTTTGTTGTTTTATAACTGTATTAACGTTGTTTTTTCTTTTTTAAGCTTTTACTGTTTGTTATTTTTATAAGAGCATTAACGTTGTTTTTTTCCTTTTCAGTAAACACCGCTCTGACGATACGACGATCCCTCAATATGCAGATGTAGCAGTTTGATGTGGTTGGCAAGAATATGAAAAATGTAAAATGTACGGAGTTTCAGAATAAGATAACAACAGGTCGAGCAAGGGTAAATTTTTATTTTATACCTATCATCTATTGAACTTTTAAAAATCTCAACATTCAAGGTTTGTTTAAGTAGCAACCCAAGTTGGGTTGATTGATGAAGAATATCTAAATCTATAATATATAAATATCTAATATATACCTTGTGACTAGAAAGTTTGCCGGATTATTACTTGCCAACAGTGAGCCTAATGTCTCACAACTTAAATTTTCAGGAGAGTATGGTAGAAGTCAAACCTAAACTTAAAAAGAATTACGTAAATTTGCCTTCAAACAACCAGTTATCAAGTACATGGCAGATACCTACTTAATTGAAAAAATATCAGTTTTTCTAGAAAAAATTGTAACTCGTCACAAATAAAAAATTTCGTGGGTTTTTACATTTGTATTTCCATTCTAGCCACTAGACAAATGAGATTTCCGTTCGTGGGCGGAAAATAAATGGAAAAAGAGTCAACATTATGTTGTACTATATTGAATAGTCCTATTTTTATAATATTTTTCTTTATTAAATTTTCTCAAGCCCACGCTGTGGGTACACTGAGATGGACATTTTGACGTGATGCGGAAGTTCTCTTGATGCCGGAATAAATTGAATAATGTGATTTTTTTGTCAGACCTGTTATGTGACACATAAAATATGATAATAACACACTAGAGTATAACATGTAAAACTACACCCCTACACAGTTTTAACTCTACATTCTTGATATGTTTATAAAAAACTCTTCGACAAAACATCTAGGCATACATTGTTCACGTGTAGGTACTAAATATATTCGACGTTACACTGATTTTTGTAGTTCAGGTCGCAAATAAAATTGTATTTGATATCAACATAGATAGGTACTTCAATCCTTTGCGTTCCCTTTTTCCTGCTTGGATGTTCTCATCTCATACATTCTCAATCTTTTTTAATTCGAAAACTTTCAATAAAAATCCACTCGTTGATTTTCTGTCACTGCTACTTTCTCAGTTAGCTATGATATTCATGATCAATTCTTTGCAAGGACTGTCTCCAGTAATTGAGTTTCATGTATGTAAATTCTGTTTCTTGGTATTCAAATTGCATCGGTGGCCTCTGACACAACACGCCGTACAATGTTGGATTTTGAGACCCAGAAAACTTCTCAACTCGTCAAATATCTTTCCTGTTGAAAACTTTGAATTCCTCAGTTTTTGACAGTTTGTTGCTTGCGAAAATCTTGTCATCGACGTAAACCAGTAGAAGAATTTTTCTGTTGCCCATAAGACACTTGTGATTAGATTGTATTATATGAAAATGATTCCAATATTTTATTACAAGTCCTTGAAGATTGTGTCCAAATCCATTTGGAAATTTGACGAATACTTCTTCATTAAAACAACTATGTAGAAACGCATTCTTGACATCCATCTGTGAGAAATCCTCATTTACAGTGGCCTATAATAATCTGTGTGGGGTGTTGTTTCAGTTTAGGCAAAACCTCTTCTATGAAGAAATTCTCTGGTCACCAATCTAACTTTGTGTCAATTCACATTCCCATCTTCATCACTATCATGCTCTCCATCTTGAAAATCAATTTTGAGCAAAAAGTTTACAGGATACTCATTTACTTGTTAAAACAGTGAGCAGAACTCTCTAACTAACCCTACTAACTTGAACTTTTAGGAGAGTAGGGTGGAAGTCAAGCATAGTCGCTTACAGTGGTGTTGTTTCACTGTAAGCAAAACATCTTCCATAAAGAAATCCTCTGGTCACCAATTTAACTTTGAGTCAATTCACATTCATGCTTGTAGCAAAACGCACTCAAGTACTCTATTTGATTAGTTAGATGATAAATGGCGAGCGGTATATTGATGGTGTTTATTTCCTTGAGCCGGCTATCTATAAAATTGTGGAGGGGGTCTATTCGCAAAAGAGAGAAACAAACTATTGAGGTTTACTAAATTATATTTTATTATACTTAAAACCAAAATTAAAATAATCAAAGATCTTTATATGTCTGACAGCCAGTTCTATTTTTCCCAAAACAAATTATTTCACATCCGTTCAAATTTCATTACTACGGACTGGGGGCCAATTTTTGACCATTCGTAACTATAGAAAATCTACGTAAATGTGCGAAGACTACGAAATCCCATTTTTGAGTATTCGCATCTTTACGCATGCGCACATTTTCATACGTTTCACTGCGAGCGGCGAGAGACTTGCCGAAGTGTTGCGTATGCGCTGACGTACCTACATTTGTAGTTATATCAGCTGTTATTATTTTGTGATAATCGCAATACAAAATATGGAAAATGGAAATAGCAGAGCAACAAAATCTACCAAACAACCAGTATAACCCTCTTGATCCATTCATAGAGCTTAACCATCAACAATTTATTGAGTTGTTTCGATTAAGAGAAGAACTTGTTTTATATTTGATCGAATGTTTGGAACAACTTCCGTCCAGCACTGCGCATTACAGACTTCATTGTATAACTTTGAGGGTCAATTTCTCAATAGCGAGTCAACTCCGGGTTGGTTTTAACCTCAGGGTAAACGTGTCCAGTTGCAATGTTGAGGGCCGGTTTCTCAATAGCAAGTCACCCCCGGGTTAAGCATAACTCCAGACATTGCAACTGGACACGTTGACTCTAGAGTTAAAATCATTCCGGAGGTGACTCGCTATTGAGAAATCAACCCTTACCCTAGAGTTATGCTTAACTTGGGGGTGACTTACTATTGAGAAACCGGCCCTCAACATTGCAACTGGACACGTTTACCCTGAGGTTAAAACCAACCCGGAGTTGACTCGCTATTGAGAAATTGACCCTCAAAGTTATACAATGAAGTCTGTAATGCGCAGTGCTGGACGGAAGTTGTTCCAAACATTCGATCAAATATAAAACAAGTTCTTTTGAGAAACCGGCTCTAAATTTGTGTATCGCTAATTTGTTGCGGCTTCTTCTTCACATACTCCACAAGCATTTTTTTCTGCTTATCTGATGCACTGGTGCATTTGCTCTCCGTTTCTTCTTGTTTTCTGACATTTTTCACAAAAAAGTAAAAATTTGTCAAAAGTCGACAGTTGACACAACCTATTTTCTCCATTAGTACCTACTCTCTCAAATTGCAGTGCTGCCTGATCAACTCTGCGTAATGTTGCGAATGCCTAGCTCAGACGTCTTTCGACTTGCGCACGTCATTCAAAAATTGGCACAAAGAAAAGTATACGTGTCATATCGTGCGTATCTTTAGGCATACGCAAATAAACGTACATTCCCAAAAATTGGCCTCCAGGAAATATCTATACTAAAAACGCCCTACTTCTTCTATTCTTAATAACTTATAAGTTTATACATAACTGTTTCAAAAAACACTTCTGATTCACATTCCTACTGAAACTACCCTTCACCTATATCTATAAATTCTTAAAACTCCTATGTCATTTACTGACAGCTTCTGCAAAATAATTATTTAAGTCATAATCCTACTCACTGGATTAAGTACCTATGTATTATCAACTATATTTTTATAATAACCTTACAATAATTTCTAAATGAAAAGGCTCTAATTCAAAATTTCAGCACCTAAGGTCAACAATCTTATTTCATGAACAACAAGTTTCTTGTCAAAATTTCCCATTACATTTAATGATTTATTCTTATACTTGAGAATCAATTTAAACATAACAATTACTATTTTCGAATTCCTAGCCAACATGCAAAATTAATTAAAATGTCATCATACTCAAAGGCAATTCAATTTGTGCAATAATGTTCCATAGTCAAAATACTCGAGTTATTAATAATTATGCAATAAAGTTCCTAAGTTAATTCACTTCATAGTCATTCATCATTTATAAAGTCAAAAAGTTTTACTAGTCACTAGAGTACTTACATTTAACTTTTCACTCGAAAAATTACTTAATTTACCCCAAAATCTCTAGAGCTCGCACATAATGTTGAACGAATTTAAATGGTCTTTCTTTCATAATTTTACGTTACTTTTTTCAAAGACTTAACGCGTTTTCCCGAGGCAAAAATAAAAAAAACTCTCACGAATTTATCCGGACTGGGGCGGTCGTTTGACCATCTATAATTTAATCTTATTGGTCGACCACTCTACCTAGATATTATTCCAAAAACTAATTTCATCATTTTTAGAGGATTAGGCAAATCTGTTTGAAATTTTTGTCATTTTGGGTTCAATTTAATTAGGTGCTTAACCTTGTAATTGATCTCTTCCGGGTTTTTATTTGTTCAAAATCGAACAATTTCCTGGTTTATCAGGGTCAACAGATTTGGTTTAAGAATGTGAGGACAACACAAAGAAAGCCGAAAACCACGTGCAGCCATAAATCACCTATTTAATTATTTTGGCCTCGCTTTTAATAATTTTATGAATTTGATTTAGATGATGACATCACTCTTGGTGACTAAATAATAAAATTTTAACGTATATTAATATTTTAATTTAATTTGGGTTCAACGCTAATTTGTTTCATTTTCAGTTTATTGATGGTGATTTCAAATACAGGAAATTCAGTTTTTGATTATTTGATTACATTTAATTTTTACAGTTAATTGTAAATTACGGGTCTATTTTCCCGGGTCATTAAATGCTCTTCAACTCCGAAATCGATTTTGTATCAACAGCTTTGACTCTTATTTGGACCAGGAGTGATTTTGCCTGAATAAATCAAATCATGTCTGTGCCCACAGCTTCAATCTATTTTTTGTCACTCATTACAGAATCTGGAAGATTGATTTTGCGCAATAATAACTACATGAGCTTCAAGATATTTTGGTTGTATCTTCTTCAGATTGCTTCTTCTTCTCCATTTTCAATTTCTACAGACTCTTCATGAGCTTTTCGATTGTTCCTTTACATGTTGCATTTTCTCTACTTTCCTTATTGGTGATCTTCTTCCTCCTGAATTTAAAGAATTCCACAATCTGCATAGGTTAGAGCAAGTTTTTCGCTAAACTAGTCACCTAAAATGTTAGTATACATCAAACTTTTCATGTTTCAGGTAGAAAAATGCCACAGCGAGACCCAAGAATCTTCCAGTAGCTCACAAAAGGAGACATACTTTTACAGTGAACCAATTATTCTAATAAACTCCAACCTCACTGATTTAGGAGACCACCACAGAAGACCAAATTTGAACGGTCTCAGATCGAGTACTGCTACCGTCATCACAACAGGAACTTCTTGTGTATATTATGTAAATAATGGTAAAGTCAATGTTATTAAAAACATCTAATGTGGGTGATATTTTGTAAATATACTGTTAATTGTTTGAAAATTGTTTATATTAAATAATAAATGTCAGATTCTTGTCTTGGATGGCATTTTTTTTGTATTACAATGAGGCAATAAATCCAAAAGTATCTGAGACAAAAATAATTCATAATATTCTCCTGGACTAATTCTACCATCATTCATTCAACTCATAGTTTGACAAATATTTGTAGTACAAGAGCTAATATAATGTTGCTTTCAAATCTCTCCAAAAGCTGCACAAGAGTGGACTCACTGGAAATCAACTTTCAACAATTTCATATCATCCGTTGATAAGCTAGAAAATGATAGAAAACTGAAACTCTTGGTGAACTATGTAAGCCACAAAAATTATGAGCACATATCCTGTTGTCCTTTTTACTAAGAAGCTATTAAGATTTTGGATTCAATTTTCATTAAACCTAAAAATAAAATATTCGCCATTGCCCTACTTCTAGGAAGCAGCAACCTGGTGAAACTGTTGATCAGCACTAAAACATCTAAATAAAGACTGTAACTTCAAAGCTATCAGCGCTGAGGAAAATCAAAACGTTATGCCCTGCTGAAGATTTAACGTGTACTGAATGCGGTTAATGTGGACATTTCTCTAAGCAAAAGAAAAGTCAAAGCTTCTGCCTCAATTATACTTATTTCTGGACTTCTTTGTGCGGTACCTGGAAGTTTAACCAACTGCTTTATCAAAATTAAATTAAACAATGTCGTTGCTGATGCTTTAGTAGATACAGGGGGTTCTGAAACATACATCAATAAAACTTTTGCCTCATTTATCGATGTACCTCTACATTTAAGCACTGGATATATACTAATGGCCACAACAGTCTCAAATATCAGGTCATTGCTTTGTAGACTTAGAAATAATGGGATATACATACAGAAAATTACGTTTATCAGTTCTTTGGTTTACATATTTACATGTTTATCCTCTGCCCATTATTGAAGATATTGAACTTCGTTGACCAGTCAGAAACAACTACTCCGAGGCAAATACGTTGGTCATTACCTGAAAAAATCTTTCTAACAATTGAAGATATTGCTCGTGCTGTCACGAAATTCAATATTTTCAGTTGGTACTATAGATTTACAAAGTGCGTATCAGCAAGTTCCCATACGTGAGGACGAAAAGCAGTATACTACTTTAGAGGCAGATGCCAAATTATATCAGTTCCGAAGTATTCCTTTTGGTGTGACAAACGGAGTTGCGTGTTTTCAGCGGATTATAGACTACATAATAAAATCAGAGAATCTTGAAGGTGTATGCATATTTAGATGATATTACGATATGCGGTAGAAATCAAGCAGACCATGATAAAAATTTAAAAGAATTTTTACTCGTAAAAAAATACAATTTTACCATAAACGAAATAAAAATTCTTACTCCCTAAAATAAAACTTCTTGGATATCTGATCGAAAATAATGCCTTGAAACCTGATCCAATTATCATTAGTTCATTAGTTCTTCATCATTGCGAATTCTTGTTTATTAAAGTCTAATTTCTAAAGGTAATTCAGTAAATTATTACAGAGCATAATATAAAATCCTATAGAATAATAATATGGATATTCTTGACACACTGACGCATACATCCATCCATCCTATTTTCCTATGCCACTTTCCTGTTTCATTTTAATATAATCGCAAAATGGCACGACTCCATTATTCAAAGTTGCAATTCTAAGGTTGGCCCCTGAAACTTTCGGATTAATGTGCGGATTGTGTAGCTCAGCAACTTGGGTCGAACACGCTGCTGCTGGATCTCCACTAGTGTCCAAACCGCCGTGCCAAAATTCGTTTCCTGGAAGAGAGTTGCCGTCCCATGCATAGGAAACCACTAACAATTTGCCTAAAAATAATAACAATTTTTAGCAATAATTGTCTTATTATCCAATTATTTTACCTTCATCCTGGCCAGTCAGTTTCACATGAGGATTACTATTTTTAATGTGAACTTTAATTCCACCATTTCTATGTTCTGCAATTGGTATTACATTTTGATCTCCAAGTGAGTCATCACCAGACCCTTCATCAATGTACGAAAACAAAACATCACTTATGTGATTCAATTTATGTCCAAGAAATCTAATAACAAAGAGATTAAAATTTTGAAATTTTCTCCACTCAAAATTCTTACTTTATTCTTTTACAAAATGCACTGATAAACATCTTATTCTGGTGCAATGAAATCCTCCAAACTCCCAAACCAATACCAACTACAAAAACGTAAGCCATTTTGTTTTGGTTTTTGGCCCTTTCATTAGCTTCTATCAGCAAAGTGTCAAAGGACAAACTCATTCTTTTTTCATAAACATCGTTATTGAAATATTTTTTATCATCATTCAACTTGGTATATTTTCTCTTATCCTCGAGCTGCTTTTTTAAGTCATGATAAGTTGAATTGGATTCTCCATAAAAGTTGAGAAATATTCCTACAATTAAAAACCCAATAATTAGAGTTGTTGATATTTGGATTTTTTATATAAAACCTTGTATGGATGCTACTTTGTGTCCATATCCTTTGCTTTTAGTATTTTGTTCTTTTGAAACTACAATTTCCTGATACTCCATTACTTCAGGCTTGCGAAGTCTAGTACCGATAAGGCCGATAATAATTCCAAAGTCTTCCAGTTGTTCTCGTTGTTCTGAATATTTTCCACAATTATTCCTTGATCCATCATTAACAAAATAGGTATAGGACGAAACTGAAAGGAGCGCTGAGAGTTTTATTTCGTCATAGGACAGGCAATTTTTCAATATTGTCGGAGGCTTTTCTTTATCAGTGCCTAAAAGTATAATTATGGACTTGGTTGTTATTAACGCAAATATACTTACCGACAAGTTCCCATTTGCCATAGTTAGTATACTTATCTAGCAACATAAATAAATCGTGGTTTCCGCAAAACATTACTGCTCTTTTGGACAATAGCCTATCGACAAGTTGCTCTACAGTAAAATCTTTATAGTAAGTTTTTTCAATCTTGGATCCAAACTTTTTTTTGTGAGATAAAAACTGGATAAATAGTGGTAAGGCTGACTCGTGCAGAATAGGATAAACTGAGTTAACATTGCGCTGTAGCAAGGTTTCTGGAACACCTAGGTATACATAATGTTTTGTAGTTATAGGAAAAATTACAATTATTCCTATTACCTTTTGCTAAAAGGTTTGCACACTTTGCAGTGTCCACTGGAAATTTTATCGGAAATGATTCGCTTTTCTGGATGATGGTTTGAAGAGTGACTTCTTTTGAGAGATTATTTGACACAAGAAGTTCTAGTTGTTCTGCAGATAGTACAGGTGACTCTTTAGGCCAGTGTTCATCAGACATGTTTTTTTTTCTAATAGGAAATAATATATTGAATTCATACTAATATGGAAAGGTTGAGGGGTTTGGTCAGAAACAAAATTTGAATGTCTGCAATGTGAATTTTTGCATGCTTCCAGCTTTTTTCAAACGGGATACCCTATATTTCATTCTATAATCTTGAAAAACACAATGCCCCGATTCCAAAAATATATAGTTTGTCTATATTTGTAAAAATTGTAAAAATACTATTCTACTACTGGTTTCGTGAACCATTCTACCTATACAGGTGAAAGCTGCAGGTAAAATTTGAGGTACCTACTTAGTTTCTCTGATAGTATTTTTAAAATTTTTAGAACCAAATATGTTAGAAACGGCTCAACCAAATATAAAAAAGTTTTGGAATCGTAAAATTGTGCTCTTCAAGAATATAGAACCAAATATAGGGCATCCCATTTGAAAAAATCTGAAAACATTTAGCCCAATACTGTACAACTTTTGTATTTACACCTTTCATCTACTTGTAAAGGTGAAGGCTGCAGGTGGGGTATCAATATATAAAAAAACACCCTGTACTGCAATAACTTATTATACCTATAAAGTCAGAATTTGTAAGATTATCCACTTTTTGTCAATTTGCCCTTCAACAAGAATTAGTAATGTTACTTTACCAAACTAGTAATATAATGTGACAAGTTATTCAAGTACAAACGAGTAAATTATTGCGGAATTTATGGGTGGACCTCTGCGAGACGAGCGCAGCGAGTTCCGCAGTCATCTATATTCATTAATACGTTGTTTAAGTATGATATACTAACCTGACTCACTCAAATGTCAGTTATTCTCATTACCTAAAGTTCATTTCACCAAACGAGATAGTGAAAGTAAACAAACTTTGACAGGTAAGTCGGATTTTATTGGCTAGAAAAGGATTATACTCCGCCCTAGGCAGGACCGTCCTAGGTTGTTTTGTATTTCTCTTTTCTGAATATATTTCCGAACGAATTCTTCAGCGGAATCTGTTGAACTTGATATTGTTTTAATTTAAATTGCTCACTAATTAACAGTAGTTCACCAAACACTATTTGAATAATTGTAAAATACTAGGAAATACGAAATTAAACTTATTGACTCATATGACAACCTGACAATAATAAATGTCATTAGTTGTAATTCATATTTTTGCAGTCCTTCTCTGAATTTTTAAGCTCCGCCTATTTGTTTACCTCTACTATCTCGTTTCGTGGAATGAAGTTTAGTTCAAAAACTACAAGTTTCAGGTGAGTTTTATTTGGATAATTCAACAGTATATTGGTGAGTATATGGCTGCGAGGTCCATCCATAAGTTCTGCGATAATCCACTTATTTGTAGGTACTTGAACACTTATATAAATTCAAAATTTGTAAGATGATGATTATTCACTTTTTGTCAATTTGTCTTTCAACAAAAATTAGTAATGTTACTTTACCAAACTAGTAATATAATGTGACAAGTTATTCAAGTACAAACGAGTGGATTGTTCCGAAACTTATGGGTGGACCTCTGCGGGACGAGCGCAGCGAGTTCCGCAGCCATCTATTCATCAATATGTTGTTTAAATACGATATTAGCCTGACTCACTTAAATGTGAGTTATTCTCATTAGTTTAAAAACTACACGTTTCAGGTGAATGTCTTACTTGAACAGTTCAACAGTATATTGGTGAGTAAATGGCTGCGGAACTCGCTGCGCTCGTCCCGCAGAGGTCCACCCATAAGTTCTGCGATAATGCACTTATTTGTAGGTACTTGAACAATTACTTATATTATATAAAGTCAAAATTTGTAAGATTATGATTATTCACTTTTTGTCAATTTGTCTTTCAACAGGAATTAGTAATGTTACCTACTTTACCAAACTAGTAACATAATGTGACAATTTATTCAAGTACAAATGAATGGATTGTTGCGGAACTTATGGGTGGACCTCTGCGGGACGAGCGCAGCGAGTTCCGCAGCCATCTATTCATTAATACGTTGTTCAAGTACGATACTAACCTGACTCACTCAAATGTGCGTTATTCTCATTAGTTTAAAAATTACACGTTTCAGGTGAATGCCTTACTTGAACAGTTCAATAGTATTGTTAGGGCCTCTAACTGAGGTGTCAACATTTAATTTAGGGCTAGATCACTGGATCATAAAGGGGATGGGGACGTCACTGCTAAATAATGCACTCACACTTCCAGTTTTATATCTCTCTATTGTTGCCAAAATAATCGTTTAATAAAGTAATAAATACTGTAACCACATTCAAGTATAGTTTGTTTCACCAGCATTTGCCTTCCTTGTTTAAAAAATAAAAATTGACTGAAACAAATTAATGACGTCAAAAACGTTCGTCGGTTCTTAAAACCAGAAGTTATTTATATTGAAAATTTGTCAAAAAAAATCGATTTTGTCAAAAGACGCGTCACGTTTTAATTCCACTTGCCTATTATTGTGTAAAATGCCTCGACGATATTCAGAAGGTGAGCAAATTATGATTTCAAGCCTTATTTTTTACTTTACAAAGAAGCGAGAGGCAGGAAACAGGAAACCCCCTGTTACCATTTAAGTGTGTTTTAGAGGTGAGTTTTTGTTCTAATTTGGTATCTGTATTCATATTAAAATTTAATGTATGGACTTTATTTCTTCGACTTGTGTAGAGAGTATCTGATGCCCTAGGAATTGGAATTACCACTGTTAAAAAGATCAATGCGCATGGGATCAGGAGTGATATGGATCATAAGGCATCCACAACAGCTGCAATTCAGAGATCTCGTGAACGCCCTCTTTACAGAGTTTACGAGCATACCATTAAAAATGGAATATACGCAATGTTTGCTATAGGTATTTAAAATAAACTTGATTTAACTCCATAAATTTGACAAAATATAACGAAATTGTTCCACAGGAGAACATGTCACATTAGTTTCACTCCAAAGAAATTTGCTAAATCTTGACGATGTGGAAATTTCAAATGCTTCCCTATGTAGAGGAAAGATATACTATATCTAATAGGAAGTATTTAATGGAACAGTCATACGTTGTTGAGAAAAGAGTTCAGTTTTTGAGGGCATATACAGATAATTTCAACTGTAGTTTTGCTTTAAAACCCGTTTTTTTTTGGATGAAACGATGGATACACAGGTTTCTTGGAAGGTTTAATTAAAAATGCATATAAATATTTTTTTGTTGTATTAGCAAGGGAGCGTTTAGAAATAGTTGGCAAGACGGTTCAAATAAAACTATTAAAAAGAAAAGTTCAGAAGGCGTCAGATACATTATTATACATGCTGGATCAGACACAGGGTTCGTGGCAAATGCGAGTCTGATTTGCAAATCTTGGTCCAAGTCCGGTGATTACCATGACGCTATGAATGCTGAAAATTTCGAAAAATGGTTCCAGGAACAATTACTTTCAAATTTAGAAGAGCCTTTTCTCATAGTGATAGATAACGCACCCTACCATTCCAGGCTGTTGGAGAAAATTCCAAAGTCAAGTTGGTCTAAACAACTCCTTTTAAGATGGCTACAAGAAATATCGAATATCCGAATACACCCATGAAAATAGATTTATGGAATATAGTTAAAAAGTCTCTACTAGAAAAAAAATATATGTAAGCTCAACAGTAGGTTGTATTTTTACTAGATGATAGATATTATTAAAATGTTATTTTTTTTCCATTTAGACTTGATGAAATGGCGTTACAATATGGTCACTGAGTACTAAGGCTTCCACCTTATCATTGCCAACTTAATCCCATAGAAATGGCATGGTTAGAATGCAAGAGCTACTATGATTCCAGAATATATTCAGTAACTTCAGTTACTGCCGATGCGGTTTTGACCATATGGAATGAAGCTCTCGAAAGAGTGATGTTTTTAAATTAACAATATTACCTTTTCTTCAGTGGTTCTCATTTTCCTATAGGTGACCCCTGAGAAATGGACCCATTATTGTCGCCTTACGAATAGCCTTATTCACTCAGCCTGGGAAAGAGATCGCTGTATAGACTCTTCGGATATACTCCCGATAATTATAAACTGGAATGGTTCAGATTTATTAGACTCTTATAGTGGTGACGGAAGTGTTTTGAGTTTTTAGCGATTTTTATGCACCAGAATTTTATGTTATTTTAGTTTATAGTTTGTATTCTTGACTTTTTCTCATTTTTGTTCTGCTGAGAGTTTTTTTTCTGGTAAATGCCGTTTATTATCTTGTTTCTTCCATATTTATGTGTATTATTTATTACTATACAGGGTGATTCAGGTAACCCGTGCATTAGCTGACAGGTGGAATAGACGCTATTTATTAATCCACCAAACTGGACCACTACTAATGCACGGGCTACGTAAATCACAGTTCAGCAAAACTAATCGTTATGAAGTTCCTTACTGAGTTTATCAAAAACACAAAACACATATTATTAAATTACTGTCCATTTTAAGCAGTAGGTATCGTAAAACTGGGAATAGTTGATGCATTTTTGCTTAAGCAAGATGTATGAAACCACTTTTTCGCACTTTCTGGTCTCATCTAAAGTTACACTTCACTCCCTGATAACAGAGACTAAAGTGTAATTTTTTCTCCCTCCAGAATTTTTGTCGATATATTTAGTACCAGAGGCAGAAGAAATATTTGGGAATGAGGAAATCCTAGACGAAGCAATTAAAGATCGGAATATACAAGATAATACAAGGACGCAAAGTAATATGGCAATATCCCTATTAAATGAAGTACCTACTGTAAAACCAAAATATCAACAAAACTAGAATAAACAACACTATAGTCGAAAGCATAGTCACATATATGTAGTTCAGAGGTCTGGTTACTAAAGAACAAAACCACAAAAATGCTGGAAGTAACTGAAATAGACTTTTGAAGGAGATCGGCAGGCAGGTTAAGAATGGAAAGGATTACAAATCAGAATTAGGGAATTTATGGACGTAAGACACAATAGTAGACAATATAAACAAACTCTACATATAAAGGACAAACAACTGATTTGGTTCGGACATGTAGAGAAAAGGGCAGATCCCAGAATATCTAAGCAAATTATAAACTTTACCTTCGGGATTAAAGTTACTATTTCGTTCCCGCGGTATATAGTACCTATACTATTTATTATCAGAAGTCAATTAATTTTTTTATGTAGGTATTCCCAGATAACTCAAATGATCTCTATTCTAAATTGAAATTTTTATTACAAAACAATAATTCCGAACATGCTATGAAGAGCGTTTGGGAACATACTTATTTGATATTGCCTAACTTTAATACAAAATTTGAACACTATTGAAGAACTAATCTACGACAAACCCTTTTTTCCAAGTTTTGGCATAATCAATCTCAAAAGTACAAACCCTGGTGAAACGGACTGTACTTTTAATTATTCACAGGTTAGTTAACAAGTCGCATTTGAGTTATTCGAGAACATTCACTAATCGGTATAAATTCACTAATTGTAAGTGCTCAATAGTCAATTTAACAATAATTAATTGAGAGCACAAGATAAAGTTTATTCTTAAAAGAAATCTTCGGGAGTTGAGAGTTTTTATATTTTTAGAGAGCCCTTAAAAAAGGGGAGTGTGATTAACTCAATGTTTTACGCGATATTATATCACTTGAGTTTTCAAGCCAGAAGCTAGAGAGATAAAAAAATAAGTCTTTTTATTTAGAGAGCGAGAGAGAGCACAAGGGTGCAACTAGAGAGAATAATTAAATAATTAGAGAAAAGTGAGCAGGTTCAAACTTGTATAGAGCTAGACGTTTTTACGCACTATTTACTGCTAGTGAAACCACACTACTAAAATCACAAATCACACTGCGAAGTGAAAAAAAAAAGAAGGAATGCATTTTTTCCCTTAGCGACAACAACCCGACTGGGGATGCGTACAGCCTGGTACGGCGTCAGCGGCCATCGAGCTTTCACGGCGGGGGGCTTTTTTGCAACGTTGCCACTGTGATCATAAAAAATAAATACGGTTGTTTGGCTGTTTCCACAACAAGTATATTGGTGATTAGATGGCTGCGGATCTCGCTGCGCTCTTTCGCAGAGGTTCACCCATAAGTTCTGCAACAATCCACTTATTTGTACTTGAAAAATAACTCATTATATAAAGTCAGAATTTGAAAGATTATCCACGTTTTGTCAATTCGCCTTTCAACAGGAATAGTAATGTTACTTTACAAAACTACACCCAGAAAAAAAAAAAATGTAATATTGATAATAAAGATAGGTTATTTTAACAATATTATCATCCGTATTCGTCCAACAATAATTGTTGTTATAGTAACACGATTACTAATTTATGAAAGCTGTCTTTAAAATGTAATTGTATTATTTGAAATGAATATTATTAAATTTACAAAATTATTGTACCCAAGATCCCTAACAAATTTATTGTTAAAATAACAATTTAATAAAATATGTATAATGTTATTTTTATTAAAACAAATATTCATATTGAAAAAGCATTATTGTTAGCCTGATGATATTATTGTAGCATCAACAATGATTATTGTGAAGTATAATAGTACATTATATACCTAGGTAGAGAAGTTGGTCATTTCATTATATACCGAGCGCTTCTATAATGCGTAAGGTATATAATGACTTTCTCAACCGAGGGATATATAGAATTTTTTTTACTACTGCTAGTGGAAAATAAAAAAAAAAGGTTTGAAACCTGTGCCCAAATTATTTTCTCTTGTCGGTGTGCTGCCCTCTATCAACAGCTTACGGTAATATCCTATAATGTACATACAGGAACCTGCTTTTCTTAAAATTAACAGTTTGACACTGAAATTAAACCAATAAAAACCTGTTACGTTATGACAATATCCTTGCGTAATAACGTCATTTTTATTATTGACCTAGGTATTTTTTCATTATTTTCATTATTAACCTATAGGGAAAGAAATTTATCAATTTTTTCCCAGAAAAATTGATGAAATAATGACTACTTCTCCAGGTTAGTAGTAAAAAAACTACTTTACGCACTGGTGCGTGACATTTTATCTGACTATAAAATCGAGATGTTAGTTCAAGGTTGTCACCGCTTTAATTATGCAAATAAGGCAATCGGAATATAAAATCGATATGTTTATGTTAGTTCAAGGTTGTTACCGCTTTTGCATACATTAAGTGCCAACTCATAGATAGGCAATTACTTATACATAATTGAAGTCGGGTAAGTGTTTGGAAGAAGTCCGGAGAGGTCAGGAAAGGGCTGGATAAGGTCGGGAGAAATCTAGACAAGTCTGGATAAAGTCTGGATAAGGCTGGATAAAGTCTAGCTAAGTCTGGAAAAGTTTGGATAAGTTTGGATAAGTTTGGATAAGTTTGGATAAAGTCTGGAAAAGCCAGAAAATTTCTGGAAACGTCTGGAAAAGGCTCTATTAGGTCTGGAGAAATCTAGACAAGTCTGGATAAAGTCTGGAAAAATCTACCCAAGTCTGGAAAAGTCTGGATAAAGTCTGGAAAAGCCTGGAAATTTCTGGAAACGTCGGAAAAAGGCTGGATAAGGTCTGGAGAAATTCAGACAAGTCTGGATAAGGTCTGGAAAAGTGTATTTGAAGTCGGGAAAGTGTTTGGGAGAAGTCCGGAGAGGTCAAAGGGCTGGATAAGGGCTGGAGAAATCTAGATAAGTCTGGATAAAGTCTGGATAAAGTCTGGATAAAGTCTAGCTAAGTCTGGAAAAGTCTGGATAAGTTTGGATAAAGTCTGGAAAAGAGCCAGAAAATTTCTGGAAACGTCTTGAAAAGGCTCTATTAGGTCTGGAGAAATCGAGGCAAGTCTGGATAAAGTCTGGAAAAATCTAGCTAAGCTTAGAAAAATCTGGATAAAGTCTGGAAAAGCCTGGAAATTTCTGGAAACGTCTGGAAAAGGCTTAATAAGGTCTAGAGACATTCAGACAAGTTTGGATAAAGTCTGGAAAAGAGCCAGAAAATGTCTGGAAACGTCTGGAAAAGGCTCTATTAGGTCTGGAGAAATCTAGACAAGTCTGGATAAAGTCTGGAAAAATCTAGCGAAGTCTAGAAAAGTCTGGATAAAGTCTGGAAAAGCCTGGAAATTTCTGATAACGTCTGGAAAAGGCTTGATAAGGTCTGGAAAAATTCAGACAAGTCTGGATAAAGTCTGGAAAAGTGTATTTGAAGTCGGGAAAGTGTTTGGGAGAAGTCCGGAGAGGTCAGAAAAGGGCTGGATAAGGTCTGGAGAAATCTAGACAAGTCTGGGTAAAGTCTAGCTAAATCTGGAAAAGTCTGGATAAGTTTGGATACAGTCTGGAAAAGCCAGAAAATTTCTAGAAACGTCTGGAAAAGGCTCTATTAGGTCTGGAGAAATCTAGACAAGTCTGGATAAAGTCTGGAAAAATCCAGCCAAGTCTAGAAAAGTCTGGATAAAGTCTGGGAAAGTCTGGAAATGTCGGGAAACCTCTGGAAAAGGCTTGATAAGGTCTGGAGAAATTTTGACAAGTCTGCATAAAGTCTAGCTAAGTCTGGAAAAATCTGGATAAAGTCTGGAAATTTCTGGAAACGTCTGGAAACGCATGGAAATTTCTGGATTGGCTCGGAAAAATTCTGGAAAATCTGGAAAGGGTTGAATTTTAGCGGATCTCAAAGCTCACAATAATCACAAGCATTAGCGTTGAAGTTTGCTTCGGCATTTTCAATGTTCTCCTCGGTTGCATCTTTGTGAAGGACTCTGAATTTTTTACTTATGTGACAATTCTCTGACAATATGCCTATTAGCTGGGCTATTAGATATTGCTCTGTAGATGGTTGTTTTTCAAAGCAAGGAAGTGGTTTAATATTTTTTCGAGGTCCAATAGAAGAATCTAGGTATGTATAGGGTTTTCCAATAGTAACGCTCGATGTTTGACAATAGCCCATGAAAAACTCGATAGGCACACAGGTGCTATCTTTGGCAGCCGTATTCAATTAGTCTCTGCATTTTATTATGGAGCGCTACACGATTGAGCAACGCGTCGGAATTGTTAAAAATTATTATCATTATCAAAACCAATGTTCTATTCGGAAA